AAAACAAGTGTTGGCGATGATGTGGAGAAATTAGAACCTGTGTGTTTCTGCTGGGGATGTAAAGAGGTGTCACCATTGTGGAAAACAGTATGGTGATTCCTCAAAGAATTAAACATAGAACTACCATATGGTCCAGCATTCCACTTCTGGGTATATGTCTAAAAGAAGTGAGAACAGGGGCTTCGACACATATTTGTACACCTGTGTTCATAGCAGCATTATTCACAATAGTCCAAAGGTGGAAACAAACCCAGTGTTTATCGTCAGATGAATGAATAAACAAAATGTGGTACTACATATACAGTAGTTTCCCCACTAACCAAAGCTTTGCTTCCTTAAGTTGCAGTTCCGAATGATCTACCATACCACAGTCTAAAATTATTAAATGGAAACTTCCAGAAATAAACAATTCATATGTGTTCAATTGCATGCCATTCCGAGTAGTGTGATGACATCTCACAGCAACCCACTCCATCCTGCCGGGGGCATGAATCTTCCCTTTGTCCATCAAATCACCTCTGTACACGCTGCCCTCCCCTTCGTCACTTAGTAGCCTTCTCCATTATCAGATTTTCTGTTGCCATGCTGCAGTGCTTGTGTTCAAGTAGCCCTTATTTTACTTCATAATGGCCCCAAAGCCCAAGACATGGGATGCTGCTAATTTGGATATGCCAAAAAGGAGCCATCAGTCCTTCCTTTAAGTGAAAATTTGAAAGCTCTTGACTTAATTAGGAAAGGATAAAAGTCATACATTGAGGTTGCTAAGATCTGTGATAAGAACAAATCTTCTATCAAGGCAATTGTGAAGACGGAAAAAGAAATTTGTGCTAGTTTTGCTGTTGCAACTCAAACTGTAAAAGTTACAGCTACAGTGCATGATACATGTTTAGTTAAGATGGAAAAGGCAGTGAATCTGGGTAGAAGACATAAGTAGAAAACATGTTTTGATAACAACTTGTTGCACCAGAAAGCACTAAACATTTGCGAAGACTTCAACAAGCAAGAAACAAGTGACTCCCAAGCCGTTTGCTACTAGTAAGGGCTGGTTACACCGATTCAGGAATACAGAAGGTCACTAGCAGCCTATGGCTACATCACAATGCTTACATCGTTCACCTCCTGTCATCTCATCACAGAGGCATCACACCATCTCCCATCACCACAAGAAGGGTGAGTACAGTACAATGAGATATTTTGAGATAGAGACTACGTTCACATAACTTTTATTATGATATATTGTTATAGTTGTTCTATTTTATTATTAGTTATTGTTAATCTCTTCCTGTTCCTAATTTATAATTTAAACTTTATCATAGGTGTGTTTGTATAAAAAAAACATAGGATTTGGTACTATCCATGGTTTCAGGCATCATCTTTAACATATCCTCGCAGATAAGGGGGACTACTGTACATATGAGGGGTATTTTTCAGCCTTAGAAAGGAGTGATACATGCTACAACATGGATGAAGATTGAAGACACTATGTTAAGTGAAGTAAGCCAGATACAAAAGGACCAATACTGTGTGATTCCGTGTACATGGGATATCTAGAATAGTCAAATTCATAGAGACAGAAAATAGAGTAATTGTTGCCAGGGCTCAGGGGAGGAAGGTGTGGGGAGTTACTGTTTAATGGATATGGAGTTTCAGTTTGGAAAGATGAAAAAGTTATGGAGATGAAGTGTGATGGGGGTTGCACAGCAATGTCATTGTACTTAATGCCACAGACCTGTATATCTTAAAATGTTTAAAGTACTAAATTTAATTTTACCACAAAAAAGAATGCAAAATTAATAATAAAAATTAGTGACAAAGGTGAATATCTATTTAGGACAAGGAAAATGATTTATAATAAATCAAATATTTTAAAAAGTTAAATATCAAAAATACCACAGATGCAGAAAAAAAACACAACATTTCATATTCAGCAACTGCCAGAGCAATTCTCTAATAGCTTTTGTCTATAGTTTAATTTCATAATTCTGGATTATCTCTTCATATGACAACAATTTTATATATTTTTTCTTATTAATATTGGGATTCATAAAACCACACATATTTGAAGTACAGCTGTAGGCTTGTGTCTTAATTCACAGGATTCTTTAATTTTGTATTATTTTTATCAAAAAAATGTTTTAATGTATGATGTAGTTTTAATTGCATATAAGACATTATCACATAGATTCCTGAGAGAACCTCTGTCTTGACTAGGTTTTCTGGTCAAACTCTAAAACCAAATTCTCTCCCTACGGTTTTACACATTGGATGATTGAAATTATTTCCCATGGATTAGCTCTGTCTCTGTACATTTCACCATCTGTTTCTCTTCAATAACCTACAAATTTCCAAACCTAGGAGTAATTTCACTGTTCTATATGACTTCTGGCCCTGCATATTTGCTTTGGTATAGCGGATGCTACCCTGAATGTCTAGCAATAACTTATCAACATATAGAAATGACTGAGACTCATATAAATTTGTCCCACTAAAGCCAAACTAAAATTATTCTCAACTCAACTTCCCCTATTTGGGTCTCAAAAATGCCTGCAACCCCTCCAGCCACCTGATACAGGAAATATGATGCTGGAAAGTCACAGCAAAATGATAATGGAGTTGACCAGTTGTGGTTAAATATCTTTTGCAAATTTTAGATAAAACATATGATTGTGTGAACGTATTTCTTGTGCCCTTCCGGGATATTGGAAGTAAATCAAGCAAGCGAGTGGTCTTATAGCTTAAGCATCATTATTTTTACAATGTTGCCACCTCTGCCTAAGTCTGTCTCACTCAGACAGTTTTGCTTCTCTCCACCGTGCTATTCTGCATTAGATAATTGCAAAACATTGAGATGAGGGCAATGAGAAAAACCTAGTTAGACAGTAAGGACATACTAGATAAAGACACAGAGAACATCCTGGAAGGAAGGCTTTGGAGGGAAGATCTCACCTATCTCATGCTGGCCTGTCCTGGCATTGCATTGTTTTATGTTATGTATTTTGTTACCACTTTCAGAAAATTAACAGCACCAGCTCTGCTCAACTAGCTTATCTAATGCCATATTCCACCCACCTGCCCTACACTGACCAGTGGTGTCATAAAAGATGTTTTTTCCCTTTTATTTTTGAAAAAATAAAAATAAAAAAGATTAGAACAAATAGAAAAATTAGAACAAATGTTGGCATGATGGAAACAAGGAATAAACTGGGTAGAAATATCCCAAGGGAAGATCTACATGCTCTAAATGAGTTTGTGTCTCTTGAAGAGGAATAAAATCCAGAGAAGGAAACATGTTCAGATAAGATGGATGAACCTCAAAATAACTTGAGGTGTAGTGAAGACTCAGGCAGAACAACTGTATCCTGGCACATGCTATCCCACATTTCAAAAATATATTGGTGGATGTAGGTGAGCTATAGATCATGAGCTTGATGCAAATTTAGGTAATATTCTAAGATAAAGTATTCAGTAGATAGTGTTAATCATGTAGGGAATAGTCAATAAAATGACAATAGGATATTGATATTGAACTGGATATAAAACATGTAAAAAGCAAGTTGACTCCAATCAGGCAATAAAGAGATTAAATTCATTTGAGTAGTCAATAATATCCTGTAGAGGGAATTTCAGCTATCAAATTACACAATTATAAGTTATAAAAGAAGCTGGGCTTGGTGGCTCACACCTGTAATCCCAGCACTTTGGGAGGTCAAGGCTGGTGGATTGCTTGAGGTTAGGAGTTCAGGACCGGCCTGGCCAACATGGCAAAACCCTATCTCTACTAAAAGTACAAAAATTGTCCAGGTGTGGTGGCACATACTTGTAATCCCAGCTACTCAGGAGGCTGAGACACAAGAATCTCTTGAACCAGGAGGCAGAGGTTGCAGTGAGCAGAGGTCACGCTACTGCACTCCAAACTGGGTGATGGAGTGAGATTCTGTCTCAAAAAAACAAAAAAGTTATAAAAGAGGCAACTTTAAAAAATTGGGTAAGGGTACACATGATATACCAGACTGCATGAAATGGTGTGAGTTTGGAAAGCTCAGTTACCTCAAGGAGATGCCAGCATGTTGACCTTTGGGTCATCGAGAGGCACCCTGGGCATGTGTGGTATGTAACAAGGTTCCTGCTTTTCTTTCAAATTCTTTAACAGACACTTCAACCCCAGCCTTGTTTCTCTGGTATAGTAACCCCAGCCCAATCAGATCATACCTCTGTTCTCTTTATTTGCCTAAGTGACTTTACAATACTGGGAGAAGAGAGAAATAACTATAAAAATGTGGAAGTTAGTCAAATCTACAATAGTAACATATTTGTATTAAGTTTAGAAATTTAATTATTTAATCATTGGATAACCTATGAAAGACTGTTTAAGTTGCTTGAAGCATTTAATAGAACCTGATATATTAGAAAATTAGATGTATGAACCATATAATTATAATTTTAAGGCTATAAGAGCATTTTCTTCAGTCTATACACAGTGTTTGAATGTTTAAGAGAACATGATTTACTACTGCATACATTTGATTTATGACCTTTACTGCAATTTCTTAAATTATTAGAAACCCCTTCCCTCCTTTTCAAAACTTGCAAGATATATAAAAGATACTAATATGTCAGGCATTTGGAATGTTTGAGAGATTCAGATAAACTAAATTTGTAATTGATATAATATATACATTTAACAGAACTTAATTAACCAAGTCTATCAATTGCATTAATTATTTAGGGAAATTAACGTCAAATTGAACATTAATCATGGAATAAGTTTAATGGTAATTTATGTTATCCTTTTCAAATTTCCAGATTTACAGAGATCTACTTGATAAATATGAAAGCTTTAGAAAAACTCGTTTTTAATATTTGCAGCTTTCATTCGTTAAGTAGTAATTAAGATGTAAGTAGGACTGTAAAGATGTAAAGATTCTTTTATATAAGATGTAAAGATTCTTTTGGCAGTCAGACAAAACACTTCAATGCTCGCTTAAGTCTTTGTTACTTACAGCTCTGAATGTGGGAAGGCTGCCACAGAGGGCCATGCAGTGGGTTGCTCCTGAGGACCGGGTACTGCAAGGTGGGAGGGGAAGGGGCAGCTTATGTATCGCAAAAAGGGTGGGGTTAGCTAGATTTGAGTAATTTGCATAATTTTGGCGGGCTTTGGGACATGGGCGCTGTCCTTAGTTGTCTGATGTCTGGCCCTGTGGTGATTGGAGTGGGTACATAGTGGCCCCCATGTGTGAGGCCATGATAAGAGAAGTGGTTGAGGTGTGGATTTAATCAGCAACTCAAGAAAGGAACTGACTAGCCTCTAGCCGAGGCCTCAAAACCAGGTCAAGACAGCACAATAAATCAATAAAAATACCATGTATGAAATATATTTAGTCACTAATTCCTTTATATCATGATGTCCATTTTGAGCTCAATTATTTGGCATATTCGAGTGGCCTGAATAGTAGAGGAGAATTCTAGAGAATAGTGCCTAAGTTGCACTAAACAGCATAGAAAACATTTTATTGTGACAGTAACAAGGAAGAAACCAAGTAGAAACGTGACAAGTCCCTGAAGGCTGACTTGTAACCAGGCTCCCACTTATTTGGTGTTAGCCAGGAGAATACATCAGTTATGGCAAGGGCCTTTAGTCATATTTTGACTGAATTTTAGAGTGTGTTAAATATAAAAGGCATGTTTTTTTTTTAGGGTGATGGTTTTGTGATCCAGGCTTTCTGTTAGAATGACCTCTTGATTGGTGGTGTTAACCCACCTGCAATAAGAAGCTCTAATAATGTTACAAACACCTCTTTGACTACTTAATATGTTATCAAGGACAAATTTACTGTTAAAAAACATTTTTTTTTGCCCAAGCTCCCTGGTCTAGGAGGACTAATATTTGCTGGATACACATAGGCTAGTGTCAATGATTTTTGACTGTTGAGCTAAACAACAGTCCCTGTGGCCATCACGGCAAGTCCCAGAGCAGTGGTGAGTCCCAGGATTACAGGTATGAATGTGGCACATCAATGACATTTGGCTGGGTGGGGAAAGAATTATCAACATTTATGCAAATAGGAAGGCCAAGAGAGGCCGGAATGCATCTTGTGGTTTCTAGTTTCAGGATAATGGAAGAGCAAAGTAGAGGGAATAAGCAGGCTTGTTTCTTGGCGCATAATGTAGTTTCATGGTATTGCTTTTAGACTGGAAAACTGTACCTTGATTTAGGTAAATGGAAATTACTAAAGAACAGGACTGGAGAGAGACAGTGGCTTTTGCTGGGCATATGGTGAGAGTATGCAGTTGTTCATTGGGTACCCCACATGTGGTACGTATTGGGGAAACATTAGTGCAGCTGCCACTTGCCATGAGGGGGCACCCTGATACAGGAGAAGAGGTTGTTTGGAAATGGTTTTAATTTCTCAATGTTTTTCATCTCTAGGGCAGTGATCAGTTGGGTAAATGTATGGTGTGGGTTATGTGGAAGCAGGCTGATGAGTTATGGTTAGTCAGTGCAGAAGAGTCTACTGAAATCAAATATGTGTATATTTTGAATGTCTTTATAAATATTGGAGAAGCTGCGGCAGTGGGTTTGGGTTTTACTTATATAGATTTTAGAGGGCAAGAGGAGAAAATGCTGTTAGGACGGAAGAGATGGGGTTAGGAGTAGGGATACTGACAATGAGAAAGAGAAGGGGAAGAGGACAGAAGGGAATAAATGGTTTGACATTGGGAGACCAGCAGATGCTCCTTTTATGCCTACGAGAGCACACAGAGTGGATAGTTCAGTTAGGTTACCTTTAAACAGGAGAAGTGAGTGGTATTAGCAGGAACCTGAATCTCAGGAGTCAGCAGGAGTCAGCAGTATAACTAGCTACTGGAAAACCAAGAGTCTCTGGTCTCTTATGAATGACCAGACACTCCATGTGTCAGTGTAGTTAGCATTGCCCATAGTTGGTTGGGAGGCAGGGGACATGTCATCTTTAATGGTGTGGTCTTGGGCTGGGGCAGTATGGGAGCAGGGTATCCTTCCCACATGGTTACCCACTAGGGTTGATGTGGGTTGTGTTTTTGTTGCTCTATGGTGTTATAATGCGGCTGAGTCATTTGCAGAATTTGAATACGATGTTGAGTCCTGGGAGCCTGATTTGCAAATGTCTTTTAAGTCAAAGGCTTTGTGAGTGCACAGCTAGCAAAGATGCTGGTGTCCAGGATACTGCTGTAACTGGACTAAAGTGCCAGAATCTGCATGGTACAATCAAAGTCTCAATTAGAGGCAGCTGAATGTCCCTGCAAAGAACAGGATCTCATTTTTTTTAATGGATACGTAGTATTTCATGGTGTATATGTACCACATTTTCTTTATCTAGTCTATCATTGATGGGCATTTGGGTTGATTCCATATCTTTGTTATTGTGAATAGTGCTTCAATGAACATACATATGCATGCATCTTTATAATAGGATGATTTATATTCCTTTGGATATATACCCAGTAATGAGATTGCTGTGTCAAATGGTATTTCTGCTTCTAGGTCTTTAAGGAATCGTTACAATGTCTTCCACAATTGTGCAACCAATTTACATTCTCACCAACAGTGTGAAGACATTCCTTTTTCTCCATAGCCTTGCTAGCATCTGTTCTTTCTTGACTTTTTAATAATCACCATTCTGACTGGTATGAGATCATATCTCACTGTGGTTTTGATTTGCATTTCTGTAATTATCAGTGATGTGGAACTTTTTTTAATGTTTGTTGGCCACATAAATATCTTCTTTTGAGAAGTGTTTGTTCATGGACTTTGCCCACTGTTTAATGGTGTTTTTCATTTTTTCCTTATAATTTTTTTAAGATTCTTATAGATTCTGGATATTAGACCTTTGTCAGATAGATAGATTGCAAAAATTTTCTCCCACTTTGTAGGTTGCCTGTTTGCTGTAATGATAGTTCCTTTTACTGTGCAGAAGCTCTTTAGTTTAATTAGATACCATTTGTCAAATTTTCCTTTTGTTGCAATTGCTTTTGATATTTTTGTCATGAAATCTTTGCCTATGCCTATGTTGTGAATAGTATTGACTGGATTTTCTTTCAGGGTTTTTATACTTTTGGGTTTTACATTTAAGTCTTTAATCCATCTTGACTTAATTTTTATGTAAGATGTGAGGAAAGGGTCCAATTTCAGTTTTCTGCATATAGTTAGCTAATTCTCTCAGCACCACTTACTAAATAAGGAATCCTTTCCCCATTACTTGTTTTTGTCAGGTTTGTCAAAGATCAAATGGTTGTAGTTATGCAATCTTATTTCTGAGATCTCTATTGTATTCCATTGGTCGATGTGTCTGTTTTTGTACCAGTCCCATGCTGTTTTGGTTACTGTAACCTTGTAATATAGTTTGAAGCAGGGTAATGTGATACCTCCAGCTTTGTTCTTTTTGCTTAGGACAGTCTTGGCTGTATGGGCTCTTTTTTGGTTCCATATTAATTTTAAAGTAGTTTTTTTCTAGTTCTGTGAAGAAAGTCAATGGTAGCTTGATGAGACTAGCATTAAATCTATAAATTACTTTGGGCAGTATGGCCATTTTCATGATAATGATTCTTCCTATCCATGAGCATGAAATGTTTTTCCATTTGTTTGTGTCCTCTCTGATTTCATTGAGCAGTGGATTGTATTTCTTCTTGAAGAGGTCCTTCACTTTCCTTGTTAGTTGTATTCCTAGGTATTTTATTCTCTGCAGCAACTGTGAATGGGAGTTCATTCATGATTTGACTCTCTGTGTATTGTTGGTGTGGAGGAATGCTTGTGATTTTTGCACAATGATTTTGTATCCAGGAGCTCAAAGCCATTATCCTCAGCAAACTAACACAGGAACAGAAAACCAAACACTGCATGTTCTCACTTATAAGTGGGAGCTGAACAATGAGAACACATGGACACAGGGAGGGGAACAACACACATTGGAGCCTTTCAGGGGGGTGGTGGTTGGGGGAGGGAGAGCATCAGGATAAATAGCTAATGAATGCAGGGCTTAACACATAAGTGAAGGGTTGATAGGTGCAAGAAACCACCATGGCACACGTTTACCTATGTAACAAACCTGCATGTCCTGCACATGTATCCCAGAACTTAAAATAAAATTAATAAAAATAAAGGCAGCTGAATATAAAAGCTCTCAACAGTCCCTGGTTTTTGTAGATGTGTGATGAGAGGAGCTCTGCTGTACATAGGTTTTAAATAATATGGTCTAATTTGAGTGTATATGATTAATAGGGTGTCAGGTTGTTTGTCAATTAATGTATCTATGGCTGAGGCTGGAATTCTGGGTTAGTCTGTAGGAAGTCCTCCAATTTAACCTATTCCTATGTTCCTTTATAGTAACTGGTTAAGTTGGTCAAGTTGACAATGAGACCTGGGTGCCATTTCTGTGTTGTGGGAGAGCCCAACCAACACTTCCCTCCACAAGTGTTTACCTAAAAAAATCGGACAAACAGGGTTCTGCCCCACATAATAATAAAGAAATACGGATGCCAAAGAAGTTACAGACTCCTGGAACAGGCTTCTGCCAAATAGGCTGTGAGCAGAAGCATGGGAAATGCAGACCCCACAAAGTGCAGCTTAAGTGGCTCGTCACTCCTAATGCTCTAAGGTGGGCCCCAGCTGCACTAGTAGATAGCTCTGGAGCTTAGCCAGTCAGCACTGCTCCTTTTTAGTATTCCAACACAGGAAAGTGGGTAAGGAAGGACTTGGCAACCACTGGCAGGCACAGCAGCCCCAGCTAAAGTGCAGCTCACCAACAGGCAGCAGTTGCATCCCTAGTTGTGCTGGTGGGTGTCTGGAGCCAATGAGTAAGTCAAGAGTAGACCCTTACACCCTGCACCCTGCCTCCACAAGGAGCTACCCAAGAGTCCACAGTCATGGCCACACCTTCCTGCTCACAGCACCACTTGTTTGTAAGATTTGAAGACTTTTGATGGTGGACACATACAGGACTTGCATCCATGGACTGAATAACTGAATCACTGCAAGCTATAGTGGGCAGTTTATGTATGGCATGCAGGATGGGGCTAGAACAGTTTCACAGGCTGTCTGTGGATTGAATGATTTGAATAATTTTGGCGGGCCCTGGGGTTTAGGGACTGTCCCTAGTTGGTTGGTACTAGGTCCCAGGGCAGATTAGGGCAAGTATGAATGTGAGAGGGTGATAAGGAAAGTCATCAAGGTGTGGACTTAATTAGCTGCTGAAGAAAGGGAATTTATTGGCCTTTAGCCACGGTCTCAAACTGGGTCAACATAGCCCAATTGAAAAAAATTAAAGAAAGAAAAAGAAAAACAGAAAAAAAAGGAAAAGAAAACCCTATATTGTAGACTATGAAACTCTTTCCGTGCAAAAATATCCTCATAAACATTACAAACCAAAAGATGGAGGTAATCACCAAGAGCCAGCATTGGTTCACTAAGAATAAATGATGCAAATTTTGTGTTTTAGATAAAGAGTCCTCTGATCTAACAGGCCATGGTACAGGTCCTTGGCCTGTTAGGAATGGGGCTGCACAGCAGGAGGTGAGTGGTGGGCCAACCAGGGAAGATTCATCTGTATTTACAGCTGCTCCCCATCACTCACATTACCGCCTGAGTTCCACTTCAAGTCAGATCAGCAGTGGCATTAGATTCTCACAGGAGTATGAACTCTATTGAGAACTGCATGCAAGGGATTTAGTGTGTATGCTCCTTATGAGAATTTAATGCCTGATTATATGTCACTGTCTCTCCTTACCCCGAGGTGGAACCTTCTAGTTGCAGGAAATCAAGCTCAGGAATCCCACTGATTCTACATTATAGTGAGTTGTACAGTTATTTCATTACATATTACAATGTCATAATAATAGAAATAAAGTGCACAATAAATGTAATGCACTTGAATCATCCCAAAACTATCCCTGCCCCCACCTTGG